TAGTGATTGCTATAACTCAGAATTGCTCTGTCTCTTTTCACCCCAGACCCTGCACAGCTGCCCAGCGCCCCTTCCTCTGCGGAGGGTTTCCCAGCGTGTGGCTGAACGGGTGGATGCTTTCAGCTGACTGTGAGGGAGCTGGGTGCTGTGGGGAAATGCACTGAGTGCCGAGAGCTGCCCATGGGCCCGCGAAGCCCCGTCTCCATTAAGATGCTATGGTTTGGGCTTGAGGCTGCTCTGAGCTTCCAGCTGCATGAGGCAGCTTCTGTAAGAACCCAACCGAGTGCAGCAAGATGATGTGTCAGTGCTCATCAACTGCAAAGAGCCTTGGGAGTCCCCCCTGCCTGTGTTTTGGGGGAAGGAGGTGCTCACAGGATGCTACCCGAGCTCTGCTTTTTGGTCCAGGGGGCCTCTGCAGGCATCAGAGGTGATTTGGATGCAAATCATGGCAAGATGGCAGAGGCTGGGGCCAGGTGATCCTCCTGGTGCATCCAGGGGTGCGGTGAGCTGGTGGGACAGCGATTCTGTCCCCTTCCCCACTATGGACAAAGTGCTTCTGCAGAAAGCCCTGCTCAGAGCCAGCTGCCAGCTTCTCAGAAGCTCTCGTCAGCCTGGCGGTGCTGGAGCAGCCCACGAGCTGCTGCTGGGTGCCAGCCATGGCCTCCAGGGAGCCAGCAGCACCTGCCGGGTGCAGGGTTGGTGAGGCTGATATTGGAGAAGTCACCGTGATTGTTCCCTACCAGCAGTGCCTAGGTGGCCTGTCACAGCAGCATCCAAGCATCTCGGTGTCAGGGGGCTTTACCCTTATGGTTCCCCTGAGAGCTGAGGCCTGGGGAAGTTGAGACACAGAGCAGAAAGGGCCTTGCCCAGGAGGTCTGTGCCTGCTCCCCAGCACAGCACTTGCCTTTGCTTCCGGGGTGGGCTGGCTCTGGCTGCTGCCCAGAGAGCTGGTGGCCCTGGCAGGGAGCAGGGGTGGTTTGTATGTTGCTGTTATTGCCCAGGCCTTTGCCAGGGCAGGTACATAAACATGTAAAACAAGCATGAGGTGTCTGCTTCATCCTGGATGCTTGTCCTGGCTGGCAAACGCTGGGATCATGCCCTGCAGGGGCAGAGAGGCTCTGGGAGGGAGGAGGCCACCCCATATCTCATGGCAGGATCTCTTCCACCACTGGTGAGCTAGTCCTGCTCTTTGCCCAAGAAGAACTGATCCCAGCTTGTTATCAGGGGTCTTGTTTTAGCCACTACATTGTCCACTCCAGTGCAGAGAGCTCAGTTGTTTGACCAGCGAGCACCTTCTTAGCACAGGTTCAGCTCAGCTCAACCTGGCCCTTCCAAGTAACAGCAGCAAACCCCTTTAACATGTTATTTCTACCCTGCAGCTCTTCCCAGAGGTGCTCCTGGCTTTGGTTTGGGATTCTGCCTGTCGAAGCTACCCTTGGTTTTGGGGCTGTTCCCCAGCTTCCCAAGCAGGACGTGTTACAGGTCTGCTAGGGGAAGGAACATGTGTGTGGTTGCACCGGTCTTGCTGGGTTCCTCCCAGACAGATATGGGTGTATGAAACCAAAGGCAGTTGGCAAAACAGATGAATGGGCGATATCAAAGACTGTGTTTACTGACATGCTGGAGGCCTGGCTGCACTGGAGCACTTGCTGGTAGGAGGAGCAGGAAGCCACGATGGACAAGAAGTAGCTTTTTTCCTGTGCCACGGTGGCTTCTTTCCAGAAGTTCTTTCCCAGGTGACACAAAGTGACAGGCTGAGCAATGAGCTTGTGTAGCATTGCCTGCTGCTTCCCGAGCCCAAGTCCAGCGCCCGTTGCTGAGCTGGCACAAATGTGGCAGTGCAGGCTGCCCTGGTATGGTGCAACTCTCCCAGACCTCCTTCCCCTTTAGGTGAAGGGTGGCTCCTGCAGCCACAGCTGCTCTCTCTTTCCCAGTGTCCCTCTTCCATCGTGTCCATCTGCTTGGCTGCGGAGACCTGTGGAGCAGTGGGCAGCGATGTGCCAGCCCGGGCAATGCTATGTGCCCCATCCTGGCGCTTGTAGCCCTTCATGCCCATGCAGCAGGGAACATGCCAGACCTGTGCCAGGCAGCCCAGTGCGTGCCCAGTCCTGGGAGAAGGATGTAGCAAGGGGTGGGGTGCCTGGGAGATACGGGGGGAGAAGTCCCAAGGAGATGTTTTCCCCAGCTGCCTCACTGCCTGCCTTCGCCTGCCTGCCTCCATGCTGTTCTTGTTGGGAAAGAAACTCTGGAGGAAAGCTGTGCGCAGAGAGTGGGGGGAGCTGCAAGAGCAAGGGGGGAGCATGAGGCAGGGTCTGCTGGGGACTCGGCAGGGGACTGGGGCAAGAAGGGAGGTACCTCAGGCTTGCTGCCCAGGCACGTCTGGGGTGGTGTGCTGGCTGCACCCTCAGCTGCCCTGGCACTGTGGTTCGGGGTGGCAGGATGGTGCTCGGCCAGAAGCGGGGACCTGAGCTTGGCCATGCTCGCAGGGCTGAGTTTCTGGTGAGCTTGCCAGGGCAGGCGGCACGGGGCTTGTACTGACTTTGCTGCAGGTGCTCAGCCAATATCTGCTTGGGCGTACAGGCAGCACAGGCAGGAGGTGTCTGATTCAGCCTAAAACCTGTCAGTGTGAACTTAATCGGCAAAAATAGGTTATGCATGGATTTGCACCAGTGTCATGTGTTTGTAGTACATCAGCCTTTGGTAAGATGGGATTTGGGGATCTTAATAAAATTTTGGAAAAACCTACAGCCTGATTTACTCTCTGGTTAGGTCACAGGCACGGGGTCCTGGGGGGGACATCTGCATGGCCACGGCCATCACCAAGCAGGAGGAGTCTGGTTCCTGACAGAGCCTGTACCACCTGAGCAGGAGGCAGGGGTCCCATGAGGACAGGACGAGGGTGGGCAATATCACTAATGGTTTCATTGCCTGTGTTGGGACTGAAACAGCAGGGCCTGCAAGCTGCCTGCTTTTTGCAGAAGGTGACCACCGAGGCCTGTTGCCAGCCTGGCGCAGCCAAGGAAGCTGTTGCTGAAGCCTGCCCTGCCCATACAAAGACATGAGCAGGCACTTGGGCCAGTGCTTTGTTCTGCTCCCCGCCCCGTCCATTTGCAAGACCACCTTGCAGATGGTCCCACAGACGTGGCTGTGGGGATGTTCTTGTTGCAAGTGGCTGGTGGACTCGTGCGTTCCTCTGTTACAGGTGGTGACACTAAGGCTGCTGGGCAGTCCCAGGGAGATGGCAGCTATCCAGGGGCAGGGGACACACGGAGGCATCAGAGGGGACGTGCAGAACACCGGCGGCACACCATCACCAATGGCGTGGACTTCAGCATGGTAAGGGGCTAGCCCTGTCATGGGCTCCAGCGAAGGGGCCCATGGTCCCTGGGGGAAGGTGGATTGCAGGGGTCCCGCACCACTGATACCAGCTCTCTTTGGGCTGTGGCTCCCCCCTGTGTGAGCTGCAGGGTGTCAGGCAGATCCCAGTATTTTGGATACAAAGCTCTGTTGATGTACGTGGAGGTCCTGCCATTGCTTCCAAGGTGCAGTCTGTCCCGAATCGTGCCAGGCGTGGAGGAGGCACATGTTCCTGTGCCCTCCCCCAGAGTGGGGTCAGCACGTGGAGCCAGCATTTGGCTGCACAGGTACCTTCCCCATGGGCAAAAACCAGGGCGCAGAAGGGCAAACCTGTAGGTGCAGGAGCAGGCGGTGTCCGGGCAGTTCAAGCTCTCCAGTGAAGGTCAGGTACCCTGTGCTAGCAAGCAGTGGTGCCAGGCTCTGTGCCCTGCCAGGTGTTCTCTGTGGGTCAGGGCTCAAGCACGCTGGTCCTCCTGGCTCCCAAGAGACTTTTTGCCAGTAATCCAGAGAAATCGGCACTGAATTTAGCTGAGCAGGATGGAGGGTTCTGCTCCCCTCTCTCCATCCCTGAGTGAAGAGGCTTGGACCAGATTGCCTGGATGAAGGGATCTGCACTGCTCCCACGTGGGGTGGAGGAGCTGCCCGGGCATGTTGCCCACAAGCTCAAGCTAAATTTTCCTTGGAAGAGAGCCAGGACCTAGCCTGCAGGATGAGTGATCGGCCAGAGCTGCTCTCGTCAGCGTCTGAGCTGCTGCCGGGGATGTAACACGCCCCGATGCCCAGCCTGGGGAGGGGGATTGTGCATGTGTGGCCTGCTGGGCTTGCAGCCATGCAAGGGGTTGGGGTGCTCTTGGGCTGAAGGGGTCTCTGCTGAGAGGTTGCTGGCAAGGAGAAATAAATGTGGATGTGTGCATCTGGGGGTGGGGGTCTCTGGCCCTTAGGGTTTTGGTGGCTGGGAGTTGCTGCTTCAGAGAGGGGAAGGTCGTTCCTTCCCTGGCAAGGCTCTTCCCTCCGTGTGCAGCTCATCGCTGCTCAGGGTCCTGCCTGGTGCTGGCGAGGAGGGGCCGGGGGCCAGCATCTCACTGAGAGCGGGGGTTTGTTCCTAGCTCTTGCTCTGGGCTGTGTTGCCCTTGCCTCCTGTGCCTTCATCCCCTCTCCCCATGTACCTGAGTGCTGCACTGCCTCTAGTGTGCTCCTCCCCGGAGAAGAGGTATCTGTCCCTGTCCCATGGGTGAGGAGCCTTCCCTGGCAGGAGCCTGTGGGTCCTATTTCCACTTCTGAGCGCACAGAGACAGTCGGAGCCAGTTTGAATCCAGCAAAGACCGAATCCTGTGCAGGGCAGTCCTGTCACCTCCCTGTTGATGCTGGAGGATGTGGGGCCCCCGAAGAGATAAGGCACCCAGCTGTGATGAGGCTGATTTGCCTGAAGCCCAGAGGGGGTTGGCAGGACTGGTATCTCTCCTGCATCCCGGGGTGCACTAGGATGGGCTCATCCTGAGCAGCGAAGCAGAGGTGTGGGGCTGCGCTGCAGCCCCTGGCCCCTTTGCACCACCACGGCTGGTGTCCGCTCAGCTGGTGCTTTTCAGCCAGTCCATCATTGATCGGCCTGATTTCCCCGTGGCCACGGGGTAGCTGGGATGAGACCTTCAGTGAGAGGCAGGCTGCAGTCTGGGGTACAGCACTGTCCCCTCCCCTTCTCCCCGGTTCGCTCCACCCAAGCCAGCGCTCTGTCTTCCTCCTGCCCCAGAAGCCGCCTCTGCCCCCTGAGCCTCCCATTCTTGCTGAGATGCCATCTCTCCCCGCACCCAGCAGAGCTGGTGATGTCCCACTGCTCTGTGGGATGCGGCCTCTTCCTCCGGTCACCGTGCTGGCCCGCAAGCCTGGTGGGACCAGGGCAGGCCAGGCGGCCGCGGGCTGCAGCCCCAGCTGGGTTGGCATCCTTGCCACGTACAGCACCTTCTTCATGCCCCTCAGCAACAGCCTGTGTAGCACCAAGGCTCTGCACTTCTTCCTGTGGGTATGTCCCCTTTGGTCCGTCTGTCTGTCCAGGTGTGGGGGGCGGTGCTGCTGTGTTGCAAAGAGCATTTCCAGGAGCAGCAGGAGCGAGAGCAGCCCTGGCTCTATGTGGTGGGTGGTGTGGGGCGGTTGGGAGGCTTTGGGGCTGGCAGTGGGGACGGGGAGGCGCTGGTGGCCTGAAGAATGTCTCAGTATGGTCTCACTTTTCCCTGTGAGCAGGGACCTGCTCGGGGTCACTTCTGAGCTGAAATGTCCCCCTCCAGATGCTCTCCAAAGTAGCAGGAGAGGTCCCTGAGCATCCAGCAGCTTCTGGGTGATCAAAGTCCCACTGGTGCCTGGAGGAGGCTCTTGGAGTCCAGCCTGCCCTGGGCGGTGGAGGCTGGGCTGTGTTGTGGCAGGGCAGGCAGAGACAGCATGGCCAGCAAATCCCTGTGTCCCTGGCGTGGAGGCAGGGGGGCTGGAGCCGGGGGAGCAGGCTGGTATGGCTTGGGAGAAGGGCAGCGGGAGCCCTGGGCTCACTGGATGATGGCTGACGGAAGGGTTGCTGTGCCCACTGCTCCATTCCCCAGGGATGTCCCCTCTTCTCTTGCCACCTCTGTGATGGCTGGTGGCAGTGGAGCAGGGAACACTGTGTCCCCTGGGTCACAGACGGCTGCTCTGGCCCTGCTGTCAATGGAGGGGCTGAGCCGCCTGCCCCACAGCAGCCTTGGTTGTGCCGTGACCCAGCGCAGTGTCCTGCTCTGCCTGTCCCGGGGCTGATCTGGGGGCAGGAGCCCTGGCACCCTCATAGCACCCTTCCAGGCACATCCCTGGGGACCCCCAGGTCCCCAAGTCCCTCTCCAGGTGATGCTGGTGCTTGAACCCGAAAGATTCACAGAGCTACTCAGCAGAAAGGCATGCTGTGCTTGGCTTGGCTTGGAGGTGCCTGGGGGGTAAAGCTGAGGGGGGAGCAGAGCAGAGTGATGGGAAAACAGGGCTGCAGGTTTTCCCCGGCTTCCAGTCTGTACATTTAGCTCGGCTGCTTGCCGCTTGCCAAAAGCCTTGTGTGTTTGTGCTGCTGGCTGGCGCTCACAGCCCTGGGGGGATTTGGGGAGCGGCTGCAGGCCCCACTCTTGCTGCATCCCTGGATAAATACAAAACAGAGAAACCTGCTTCTGCAGTGGGGAGCAGGAGGGTGCAGGTGGCCTGACTGTCCTTCCCCTGCTTTGGTTTTTCTCCCAAACTGGAGCACTCTTCCCCCAAAGCAGCATCTGGCAGCAGCCATCATCCCGCTACTCCAATGGCTTTTCATGGGGAGAGGGGCTGAGACCCCTGCCCGTATCCATATCCCTCTGCACCTTGTGAAAACCAGCTCCCAGAGCTTGACAAGGCCTTGGTGGGGAGGAGGTGACATCTCTGTGCGCTCTGTCCTGCAGCTGAAGCACATGAAGGAGCTGGAACAGGAGAAGGATTTCCTGCTGCAAGGTCTGGAGCTGGTGGAGCGCGCCCGGGAGTGGTACCACCAGCACATCCAGTTCATGCAGGAACGCCAGAGGCTCCTGGGGAAGAACAAAACCAGTGCTGTGAGTCTGGGGCTTGTTCTTGGGGTGCCTGTCTGCTTGGGAGGGTCTGGGGCTGCTCTGTGGGTTTGGAGAACTGGGCTGGGACTTGGCTGGACCTGGAGCTGGCCCCACAGTAACCCCCAGCCTCTTCTTCCTCCCTGTCCCCCAGGAATTCCTCCCTGAGGGCAGCCAGAGCCACCTGGGGCGCCTGGTCCCTAAGCTGCAGGAGGTGAACCGCTGTCTGGGTGACCTCCTTTCCACCACTGGCAAGGTGAGAGCCACAGATTAGCAGCATCTGGTTGTTTGCATGAGCTTGGGACCCATCCTTTCCCCTCACACTGGTGCCTGGGCCAACATCGGCGCTACCAGAGTTTCCCTGAGCTCTGGGGAGGCAACTTGGCTCCGTGGGCAAGATGGGCGATAACCAAGAGGGCAGCACAGCTGGTCCCGAGCTGGGCTGGAGGGCGCTCAAGGCATCTGGGGAATAAAGGAGATGCCCAAAAAGGTGTAGCCATTGTCAAGTGAATAAGGAAACCATCCTGCTGAGGTGCTGAGTCAGCCCTCTCAGAGCTGGCTGTCCTGTGTCCTGGCAGGAGCCAGGCACACTGACAGGAAAGCTGCTCACCTCTGCCTGCCCTGCTGGAGACCCTGTTCTGGGCTCATAACCCTGTGCTGCGCTTCTCTCAGTTCCCCATGTGCCACAGAAACAGCTTCTGGCCTTGGAGAAAGGCTGGGGAGGGCCATCAGGAATGTCCATCCATGTCTTATCCCTTCCCTTCATCTTCTCTGCAGCCAGCAAACCCCCCCCCAGCTCTGAGCAGGCTGGTCCCTGTGGTGTCCCCAGCCTCAGCAGGCTCCCAGCAAGCCATCAACATGCTGAAGGAGCAAAACCGGCTTCTCACCAAGGTGAGCGGGGGTACAGGGGGAGGAGGTCACCTTAGGATGGGGCTGGGAAAGGAATACGAGGCAGTGGAAAGTGTTCCTTCAGCTTGGCCAACCTTGGTCACCCCAGAGAAGGATCTGCAGGCTGTACTGGGAGAACTGCCACCATGCAGCTGTGTTCAGCTGTTTGCTGGGTGAGGGTCCCTGGGCAGGGATGGGGCATCCCCACCCGAGGGAGAAGACTGTGACAAACGCAGGTCGCGAGAGGGTGCGGACGCTGCGGCTGGTGTCTGCGAGCAGGGCTGCTGGGGAAGGGGCACCTGTGCTGCCCCTGCCAGGACCAGGCCTTCTGCTGGGGTTCACATCCCAGCCCCCACTGCACAGCAAATGCCAGCGTTCTCTGAGCAGCATTTTCCTCCTCCTCTGAGTAGCATTTTCCTCTTCTGTCCTGCAGGAGGTGACAGACAAGAGCGAACGCATCACCCAGTTGGAGCAAGAGAAATCTGCCCTGATCAAGCAGCTCTTTGAGGCTCGCGCCCGCAATAACCATGAAACAAGCCAGCTGGACTCCACCTTCATCTAGCACCCATCTCCTCGCCCCCTGTCCTCAAGCTTCCCCAGGGGTGTCATGGGACTCTTGCCCAAAACCCATTGCACCCATTGCTCCAGGTGTTGTACCTCGAGGTCTGGAGCTGCTGGTGGCACCTCTGCAGGAGGAAGCTGGGAAGGCGTTTCCCCGACCCTACCTGGGGAGCATCCCCGCACTGCTCTGCTGCTGGGCTTTCCAGCCATGCTGCTCTCAAGCTGCTCCTTTTCTGTCTCTGAACGGATGGCAGGGACTGTACCCCCAGCCCTGTGATCCCCAAATGCTGGGGGACATAGCCACTGCCCACGCTGCCTGCATGGGGGCAGCTGCCGTGCCCTTGGCCTGACTTAGGCTGAACTTTGGCTGCTCTCAGAAATACATGATGCATCTCCAACACTCCAGCTGGCATCTACAGGCAAGCCTGGCCATTGCAGGGTGGCCTGTCCCCGTCTTGGCCTGCTGTCGGAAGACAAGATTGAAAATCCGATGGGGCGTGCCTGAGTTCTGCCTGCCAGTGACAATGTACTGGGCCAGACCCAGGCCCGAGCTGGTGCTCCTCCTGGTGTAATCCAGTCTGCAGTAGTGATGCCATAGTCGCTGTTTACATGTCTGCAGGCTCCTGTGGTTAATGAGCCGTAGACCCAAACGAGGTAGCCCATACCTCCGAGCTGCTGTTTCAGGCTGTTTGCAGATTGATGCAGACACCTCTGCATCCCTTCCTTTGGCTTGGCCTGGCACGTGCTTCCTTATGACTGCCAGACTTGGGATTGTCCATGATGACTTTAAAAGGAGAGGTGACGTCCTACGGCATGAGCCTGGCTTCAGGGAGGGGCTTTAGGACAAGGTTTTGTGTTTAACTGAGCATAGGTGATGGAGCGGAGGCTGATGGGCTCTTCCCTTTGCACATCTCCACATAGAGAAGTGGCAGCTTTGCCTGTGCTGGAGGTGTGTGCTGGCTCCTTGGAGTGACAGTCCAAGTGTGAAGTGCACCCCTCTCTGGGTGTCTTGGTGGTGGTGGTGGGGGGTGGTCTAAGCATGGATCCCATTAGGCTGATGCATCTCAGGATACCTCCTCCTTCCCACCCTGCACAGTGATGATGCTTGAGCTGAACAATGGCTTCCATGGTGGCTTGGTACTTGGTGTTTATGGTACTTCCATAGGAGATCCTTGTGAATCCCTGTGTAGCACAGGCCTGGCCCTCCGTAGCTCCAAGACCAGGACCTCTTTTCTCCACGGTTGTTTCGTGCTCTGACTCCTGGCACAATGCTGCGGCACAGCGCACTGAGCTGGACAGAGGGTGCTGGACCTACCTTGCTGTGGGCTGGGCACCATGCAGACCAGTTTCTTTCTCACTCCTGGTTTTGTCTGTCCGGTGCTGTCTGTCCCATCCAGCTCCTCTCTTTGAGGTTGATCTTGAGCTGAAGCTCATGGCAAGGCACGAACCCCTGCTCTGCCCTGGTGCCCCAGTGGGGATCAGCAGAGTGCTGGGGAGAGGGACAGGGAGGAGGAGGAGGAAGGCCATGGCTAGTCATGTCCCCTACCTGCCGGAGCAGGCTGTTTGGTGTCCCCTGGGCACTGGTGCCTGCCATCTCTTTCATGCTGCCACATGACTCTGGTGGCCAGTGCCTGTTTTGCCTGAGATTTAACTAAAAGCAGCCTCTTTGTGAGGAGGGTCACCTAGCGGTAGGGATAATAAAGTGGGGTGAACTATTTAATTTACCCTTCTGTCTCTGTCTAAATCTGCCTATCTACTGCTGCAAGATGTGAAGTTCCTGGCTCTCCTGTCCCATGGGGTGTGGGGTGAGCCGAGGCTGCACAGTCACAGCCTGAGTACGGGGAGCTTGGGGGCTGGGAGCGGCTCTGTTCCAGGCCATGTTCCTGTGCCCTTTCCTGTCCCCTCTGGGTTTCCCTGTGCTCTGGGGCTGAGAACCCCCCAATCTCATCTCACCGCTGTGAGACGGGGTCACAAAGCCACCCGCACCCCTTCATCTGGCTGCTCCTCCAGAAGCTGTGCTGGGGGCTCCTATTCCTCTGGTGCTGGTGTAGTTCAGAACCTCTTCTTTTTGAGTCCCCTCACTTGGAGCTGGCCCCCGTGGCTGTGGGCAGTGGTGGCCATGGTGCTCTGCCAGGGCAGCCAGCGGGGACCTTGTGCTGCAGCGCACGTCCCTCTGCCCTGTGCCAAGGGTGACAACACCCACTCAGGCGAGCCTGGGGCTCCCAAGGGTGGCAGCACCCGCTCAGGCGAACCTGGGGCTCCCAAGGGTGGCAGCACCCACTCGGACGAACCTGGGGCTCTACGCTGGCCAGAGGCACCTTTTACCCCTTGGCACAGCCGGGCTGTGGGGTGAGCTGGGACCCCTTGCACCCTGCAAGGGCAAGTGGTCTGAACTGTCTGGCCTTCCCTGCCAGGAGGGGAGCTGGGAGGGGGACCCGAGCCAAGGCCCCTCCACGGCCTCTTTCAAGTGGTACTTAGCCACGAGTCCCAGAGAGGGTGAGGAGGGGGCAATCATTGCTTTGCTTGGATGCGAGCCCCTAAGGGCTTTCAAAGGAAAGAGGGAATCCTTGTCCCTGCTCAGTGCCACCCTGTGCAGAGCCAGGGCAGCTCACCTGCCCCCGGGGAACATCCCGGCTGTGGCCGGGCAGCGCTGGCCCTGGGCCTGCTTCCTGCAGGACCACTGCCGGGGTGGCGGGGAGCTCCAAGGCATGCAATGGGTCTGCTGGGAGTGGGGAGCTGCAGGGCTGACCTCGAGCTGTTGCCCTGGCCTGGCCACCCTGTTCCTGGGGCCCTGATGGGTCTGGCCCATGCCTGGCCCTTGCCTGTGTGTCTGGACTGTGTCCGCTTTGGCACCCTTAACCGTGGAGGCTGGCACCACTGCAGCGGTCACCCAGGAGCCACAGGACCTGCGTTTGTGACCAGGTCTGTAGACGGCACGCTGAGTGACATAGGTGACCATCTTCCCTTCTCTTCAAGCTCTGTTCCCACTAGAGCTGGGTTTGCACAGATCTGTGAATGTGCCTCCAGGGCTCTGATCGCACCTGGAAACCACTGTGTGAAGCTGGTGTCCAACTGGAAGCCACTGGAGCAAGCTCTGCAGTCCCCCACCGGGACAGCTCCTGCCGACCCACCTCAACTCAGCCCTCCACACTTCAGATTGGCAAACCCAGGTGCCACACCATGTAGTCCATGCTTGTGTCACCGGCGTTGATCACAGGCGCCAGGGTGAGACGGCACAAGGGGTCCCTGCTGCCAGAGCCTGGTGATGGGGGCTGTCACCGGGAGGGGGTGTGCTTGGCCCTCGTCTGGCCCCCGCACTGCCCTGGGGGATGCAGGACCTCATCCTCTGTGTCCCCAGCCATGAGGTTTGGGAGGGATCCAGGCACCCAGGTCTATTTGTAGTTTCTCTCTCTGCTCCTGCCCAGCTCCATGCCCTTCTCACGCCCTTGGAGGCTGGGCTGCATGCCCAGCTACCCCCCTTAGAGAAGGGCTACTGTCCCAGCAGAGCAATTATCCCAAATGCCAGCAGGAACAGCTGCATCTCAGGGCCCCAGCCTGTACATTTTGTACTTTTTGCTTTTCTTCCCTGCTGCACAGTCAGAAACTGCTCTGCCCATCAATAGGTCCCTGCTGCCCTGAGCAGTTTGCAGCAGCTCCAGCACCCAGAGAGATGCCAGCCAATGCACGCTGCACCTGCTGTCCTGCCCCTGCCGGTGCAAATCCCTGGGAGATGAACTGAGGATGTGATGGCCTGGAGAAGCCCCTGGCTCCTGGGGCTGGTCCTCATTGGGATGGGGAGCCAAGCCATGCAGGGCTGTCCTGGGTAAGGGGGTGCCTGGTGTGTCTCAGACCTGTGAGTGGTGCTCGGTACCTCTTGCTCATCCCCATGGTCCCTCATGGTGCACGTTCTCCTGCCCCGGACCATCCTTGTGCCTTGTTGCTGCAGCCCTGTCCGTATCCCAGGCTCCAGCTCGCCAGTGCTTTTCTCCTCTTGGCAGAGATAAAACTGCCCCTGGCCTCAGCACCATTACCTGGCACGTGCTCCCCGTTCCTCCCTGGCTCCAGCCGTGGGAAAGTTCCATTTTCCACTGGCACTTGAGACCCAGTGGAGCAAAGATCCGCTCCCAGGTGCCAAGGGACTGGGTCTGCCCTCCCTGCCGCAGGGGTATGGC